GCCTGCAGCGAGCAGGATGCATCTGTCTCCCTCGGTGTCTCGGCCCCAGCTGAGCTGGAGGCTCCGCCTTTTGTACTTCCTGTCCCGCTTTCCCACTTCCAGCAGTCTGGTCTGGCTCCACCTACCTGGGCACAGGTGGTGGTTCCTCCCCCTCTGGGTCAGAGGGAGGCCAGACCGCCTCACTACACATAACCATTTATGGACAGTATTCAAAGCAATATGTAAAGATTTAGGGCAAATGCTGTGTCAGAATACAGTTTTATTTGCCCAGAAATTCTTTATTCTTTTCACTTTGTATCATATCATCTCACATATATGATGCAGAGCCAATATAATTTATGTATTGTTCCTATTGGTGCTCTTCTTGCTAAAATACTAGTGTTCATACCCCCTTTTTCTTAAGAGCCGTCATGGTCTAAGCCTCTCAGCAAATCAAGCTATAATTCTGTATAACTCTTCTCAGCAAATTTTTAGAGACCATCATAACCAGGTTGAGAGTAAATGATCTGTTGTAACACAGAACTCCACTTTCTCAAATAGCGACTGCTGCTGTAACAGTATCTGAAGCTTTTACGCAGCACTACAAGGCTCTGGTACAGAAGTGCTGTGAAGTGCACCATTCTCTGCAATAGTGGTGAGAGTTTCCCTTCTATCCACAGAAGCGTCATTCATCACTAGCGACAGGTGTCATCTGTGAAGCAACAAGTGCAGGGAGACCTGGTTCAATTACCCTGTCAATGGGGTCTGTTATATAACTTACTAGTTATATTATCTGGGTTCCTAGACATGGGATTATCCAGCACAATTTAGTCAATGTGATTTGTGCTCACTAATTTCTAGTGAATATAAAAAGGGGTGTAGATGGGATTCTTCAGGTTATTTACAGAACAGTGAATTATTTATAGAGGCACTAACACATTCACATTCTTGCAAAGCCACCCTCAGCCTTACGCCAGACATGGCAGTCAATGATCTCCAAGGTCTTCCATGCACAGAGAAAAGAGTGCATAGTGGCCTGAGAACAGGATTGATAGTGAGAACCAGAACTCCCAACCCTGGTTTGAATACTAGTTTCCAATGGCTTTACTCCAGTTACTCCTCTCTATATCAGTTTTCCCATCTGTCAAAATGATGATGACGATATGAAAGTCAGCGATGTCCCACCTTGATGCCATGTTGTCATCAACATTCAGCAGGTAAAATGTACCTCTTGGCAGCAAGGTTTGGATTGCAAGCTTCACTCACAAAAAAACCTTCATTTTAAACCTGCTTCTCTGCTTGCTGCAAGACTGCATAGTTCAAGAAGTCTCTTCTGATTACCCTTTCTCATTAAATGTTTTTCCTGCTAAATGCACGACTGCTCCCAACCAGTGGGAGCAGGAAGAGGGAATGACATGTCTTCATACAAGTTTAAAATATGTCAAATTAGCTATGTGTTGAGACTTATAGTGGGGGTGGTAGTCTACAGAACACTGATATTAATAAAAAGGAGTTTATAATGTTCTAATAGAAACAAGTTTCTATCAGAAGCCAACGTAACCAAAATGATGTATTCCACAGAGTGTAACTTCAGAACACAATATTATGTCCTTGAATTGCAACACACACATAACCATATCACTTTAAATAACCATGCATTCTGCTACTCCTAGCTGATATGTAGTTTTCCAAATTAGCCATTGGCTGAACAGTACTCAGCAACACTGAACCTAAAATAGAAGAACCACAGCACATGGAACATCCGATGGCACAGCACATTTGGGGACTGTGTAACAAGACAGGGCCAAAACGATCATAGTGGTACATATACTAGTTTGCACATGCATTTGTATGGACACATTTTGTGCATGCAAGTCATGCCCAAATACAGTGTTTGTACATCAATTCATCATGTGTATAGACAAGTCATAAGGATGCAAATGACTTCCTTAAGCACAAGTGGAGGCGTCTTGGAAAATTTGGCATTTAAACACATGCCTCGCTTAGGGTAGCATGTACAGTGAATTGCCTTGCCCTTCTGCTGCATTTTCAGCTCACTGGCCACCCTTCTAGTAGTAGTGTACGAAAAAAAAGGGGGGGGGGTGGAATAAAAATACTTTTATCTGATTATTGGATTTATAAAGTATAAGAAAGGTGCTTAGCCAACAGCTCTGGGTGTCTTGCCATTACTTAGAAATACAGGTTAATGTTCACAAGAACCCCTGGACTGGAAAACGTGACCTCTTTTGGGAACTGCAATTCCACTGGTTGTCAAATTTTAAAGCCCACTTTTCCTTCTCTCTTATTCTCTTTTGACTGTCTCTCTCTGTTCCGGCTGGCATTGGTCCCCTTCTACGCATTTAAAAAACAGAAGGGGCTTGGTTCTCTCTGGGTAAAGTAAGTGCACGGGTGTTCCATTTTGATTTGCGAGCACTTCTCGTCCACTTTACGCAGGTGTAAATGATGTCACAAGGTGCAGGAGAGTGGAGAATCGGGGCCAAGGTTTCCTTAGTTTTGGTTAGTGTCCCTGCAGCCATGTGGATGGAAACCTTGCTCTCAAATCTTGATGTCTCGGGTGGGAGGATAAGCACTGCAGTGATGCCTCTGGCTCATTTCAGCAACCTTCAGGGTGCCTGGATTAATATGGTGGATCTGCTGGGAGGGGAAGGAATGTTCCAGTCAGAACAGTCGTATAATGAAGACCTAAGTTTAAGAATTTTAACTCCTGTGTGGCTAAGCTAATAGAGTTGTGGGGAACAATGCTCTGAGATGGCCTAGGTGACCTAACAGCTCTTTTCCTTCTCTAATGTCTGTGCTCCTTTGATTTAGGGAATTGTATTCCAGCTGCCAACATCTGCTTCTACATGCTTGGAAACCAGTTACATTTTGGGTTTGCATATCAACTACTATACCACGTGCCTGTGACTTATAACCAAAACTGTCAATCTCTGTTCTGAACCATTGCCAAATAACCTTCCATTCCTCTCTCCCGTCCTGCCCATCTAACCACCAAGCTGCCAACACACAGCTCCTACATGCATGCCGTCAGAATGAATGTGAGCTGCTTAAAACTCAACTCCAGTCTGAACGTGAATCTCTGTCTCTGCAGGAATATTGAAAAGCAAAGTCATCCAGTGCTAGTCAAGTCTGTTGAATATTGTTTGTTTTTAGTTCTGCTTTAAACCTCTCTTCCTCCCTGGAGTTTTTGAGTTGACCGTCTTTTGGTTGGGTTTTTATTATGCTTGCTTCTTTATCGCTCTCCCTTTTCTCATTTTGTTTTCTCCATTCTTCTCATTGGAGGCAATGAGCCGTCCAGCGGTCGGAACTCCCCTGTCCCTTATCGGCCAGACAGCCGCCCTCTAACTCCAACTTACGTTCAGGCCCCTAAACATTTCCATGTTCCAGGTAGGAGCTGGCACTTTGTGTCTTGGTGTCCTGTCACAGTGTAGAATGTAGCCTTTGTCACCTCTGTCTTGTCTCCATTATTTCACGCTGTTTTACTTGGTATGCGCACACAGAGTTCTGACTCACAGGGACCTGCTCCTGACCTTGCTGAGAGGAGTCTTGTGTGTAGCAAGTGTGGAGGGATGGATTGTGGCTTTATCTTGCCCTGTGCTTCAGCATTAGAAATGGATTGTGGTTCAGTGTTAGTCAATAGACAGTGAGCTGACCATTTAGGGCCTGATCCTTCTCACTTCCCCAAGCTCTGAGCCATACTTGGAAGAGTTACTCCTGACTTATACTACGGTAGTGTATGTGAGAGGCGAATGGGGCCTGGAGCAGTTATGACGCTCTCCAGCAAGAGCAGTTAAATCTAAGCATCTCGTGATTTTCATATCTGATAAAGGCAACTCCTGACTTGCTTTGTCTTGAGCAAGACCATTCCAAGTTAGATTTTGGTTGTTGTTTTTTTTAACTGGATGAGAAAAATTCTTTTTTGTTTTTGTACAATAACTTGACTTCCCATATAAGGATACATAAAGTCAACATGCCCTGTTTACAAGGGACAGACTGTTTTAAGTCAAATTTACAACTTTTCCACTGTGGAAAAGTTTCCTGTTCCTGTATTTAGATGGAATGAGGGAAAATCTCTATTTATAACTTTCCAGTGTAGGCAGGTGGGAATCTATCGCATGACTTAAATACCCTGGTAGCATTTACAGATATGTTATTCAAGTAGAGACAGTGGTCCTCTAGCGGGAACAAAAAATGCCTCTGTGTCTCTGTGTTCTGAATTTGCCTAGTTTAGTCAGTGATGTAGGGCGTTGTCAGGCAGGATTTACTTTAATTTTCATAGATGTGTAAGGTTCCTTTCCTTGATACCAAAGATAAAGTTGTCTCCTTTAGCACGTTCATTGGACCCATGATGTGCATTGTATGCTTCTAAACATTTTCTGTGACAGTTGTGCTAATGTAACCAAAATCGATATTATACAGTAGCAAATGGTTATTTTGCAATGCAGATTTTCAGCCCCTAATAGAACTCATTATGCATAATGGGATTCTGATACTTGGTTTTTCACTGTAGCATTAATTTTGGATCACCTTGCCTGTTGTTTTTGTGAAGAACTTGTAAGTTTTTTTCAGAATGAACCTTTGCCTGTTACTAAATCAGCATCTATTTAAAAAAAAATAATAATCCCAGTTCTTGAAGAGGTTGCCATAGAAATACTGTGTAAGAGTTTTGGGGTTTACAGTTAAAATCTAATGCATAATGATGATGTGCTGTACAATATTTGTCACATAGAAATGCTTTTAATCTGTCCGTCTTGTGGTTTGGTATTAGCACTACATTAATTAGCTTTGCATGGAGCATCTTTCTGGCCCAGTGCAGTACAATAGTTGGCTGTTCTTCAAAATGGCAGACTAGACCACATGGTCAGTAGGTTTTAATGTGAATTGTAGGTTCACTGCATTGCTCTACGCTCTGTCCAACTCATTGGTTGGAGAGGAAATTAAGCTGCTATTGCTGAAGCACAATTTTCCAGAATGTAGTCATTTGGGGTTGCTGTCCCCAAATTGCTTACATAGTCACCATCAAAATATCTCCTTTGCTTGCATTTCTTCTATAACCTTTATGTTACTAATAAACTTCTAAGTATTTAAAATGAATGGCTCGTGACTTAGATGCATCAACATGTTGCAAAATAAATGGCAAAAGATTTCATACCACATGTCTGTGACTTTTCACCTGTTCTAGTATTTTCTCGAGTAATCCAGCTATATGTAATGCTAGAGTTAGCTTTCTGGCTTCTTCCTGTGCTAACTCCTTGGTTTAGTGTGTCTATTGGTTTGGTGTTGGGGTTTTTCTTTTATTCATTGCTGAAGTCTTCCCTATATTCACACATTTCTGCTTTTTAATTCCACAGATCAAGGCATCAACATTTACAGGAAACCTCCCATCTATAAACAACATGGTAAACCCTCTTTCCTCTCTGTATTTTCTTAGTAGGAGAGTCTGCTCAATTAAACATTTGTACAGCATAGCAGAAAACACCCAGTGTTTCACGTACACATTACAAATCGGAAATATTCGTTTAAAAGCAGCTTTTATTGGACAGATTGCCAAGTAAAAAGAATGAGTGGAATCTTGGCCCCAGTGAAGTCGATGACAAAACTCCCGTTGATTTATATGGGACTAGGATTTCACCTTGTGTCTTTAACATGATTTAGGTACCGTACCTATTCCCACAGGAATTCATCATGGTAAGACTGATTTTTCAACAGGAGGGTCTCAGCCTATATCGTATTAACTTTTGTTTCAGGCAAATAAAGTACAAATCTTTGCTTCCACCGTAAAGATGGAGATTTTTATTGGCAGACCAGTATTCCAAATGCAAATTTGCTAAAAGAGCTAAGAACGAGTAGAATTGTTGCAAGTGTTGTATGCAGTGTATCTCTGGGGAGGCTGATTTGACTGTCAAAGCCAGTGGAGCAGCTTGGATAGCAAAATCTATTTGTTTTTCCAATATTCAGTTTCATTGTTACTTTAAACCTCTTTCCAAGCTGCCCATTGTTTTAGCATTCCTCATAATAATAATAATGATGATGGGACCAGCCAATTGATTTGCCACTGCCTGATGCTATGGAACATGGTCCCTGTTATTACTGAATTCATTCACTATTGCCTTCTGCTACGAATATAGAGTGTTTAATAGGAAAAGGCTTTTTTATGTTGGCAAAGCACACGTGACTATACTTCCTGAGGGAGTTCTTGCATTTGCCTTTGGAGATCCTACACCAACCAGTATAGTTTCTTTGTAGGATTAGGTAACAGATGGACAGAATCATAAGTTTTAGATGAGCAGCTAATAGAGAGCAGCTGAGCTCACAAGGAGGAAAAAATACGGAGACCTAGATTAGAAACCAGAGTCCCATTATTGCAGAGTGAGCCTCTTTTTTAAAAAATTATTTTAAACCATATTCTCATTTTTAAAAATTTCTTAATATTATTTTTGGGGGGTTTTATGGTTTTAATGTGTCTTCTCACCCTCTCATTAACATGTGAATGTTTAGCCACTAACCTCACCAATTCTAATATGTAAGTACTGTTTGAAGTCATGCTTTTGTTATCCCCTGACCAGCTTCCCCAGATTTCTGTATGTTCATGCATAGAACCTTCCCCGTCTTAAAATTGCCAACATTCCCAATACACATTAAGGCAGATATTTTCAAAGCGGCCTAAAGGATTTGGATGTGAAATTCCTGTTAATTTTAATGGGAATAAGGGCATTTCAATTCCTTATGTTGCTTTGACAATCTCAGACTAAAGCCATAAACATTAAAATGTAATGAATCCGTTATTGAAAAACATCTGCCTCGGCTTCCTAGTTGCTTGTCTTAGCAGACGTCTTTCAATGAAAGTAGGTCCAGGAATCGTCTTCTGATTTGATGTTCAAAAATAAAATGACTTGACTGAGGCTGATATTTTGCATTTTAGGAAGTAACAAGGGTGTTTTTAATACAAAGTAAAACACTTGATTTTTTTTAATTCATTTTTTTGGTCGAAAGTCAACAAATTAAAACCACAATGCACATCCCTGCATTATATGATAATTTAAAAAGACTTTGGCCCAGATTTGAATTCTAGATTTGTGCCACACTACTGAGATAAGACTCTGGAATTCCTGATGAGGTTTTTTTTAAATACTGTATAGTACAGTGGTAAATTTCATTTCTGAAGACTATCTCCCTGCTGAGTTGATCTGAACAGAATTTAACGTTTATTACTAAACTCAAGCTCGCTTTTGTTACTGAACATGAATGAGTTACTAGATGCAGCAGAGATGTTCGAGTGATAAACACCTTTCTCTGCTTGCTGCAGACCCCTTCGCTGTTGCAATTTTTCACAGAAGCATAGGAAATGTTTTTAAACGTGGTGGAATTAAAATTAGTGCAACTCCACTGAACTATTCCTGGTTTCTTGCCCTAAAGGGCAGACAAGCCAGCACACTGAAGTCTTCATTAATGATCAGCTATCGTCAGGAGATACAGCGAAATACTGCTTGACGTATTTGCCTGAGTTCCCTCTATCTGTCTAATCATTCTAACAGGGTGCTACTCCAGTGAAATCCTGTATTTTGTGAAAGGGGAGAGAGCATAAATTTGATTATGAGACATTAATGAGGGGAAGAAGTACTGCAAGCTGAAACTAGGAAGCCAAAAGATCAGTGCATACACTTTTAATAACTGAACTGCTGTAGAGTATGAAATATTAACAAAGTAAGGAAAACCATGACACTGATGTAGGCTATAACATAGCTAAGTTCCCCTGATTGCCATCTAGATGCAACTGCTTTGGCAGCACAGAGCAAGTCCTCCGAGGATATCATCAAGTCCTCCAAGTTCCCAGCAGCCCATGCTCCAGCACCCAACGAGATACCAAAGATTGAGACAGACCACTGGCCAGGTCCTCCCTCACTTGCGGCTGTAGGTATGCAAAAAAACAATGAACTAAGTGACATGGATTAAGAGGTACATATAAATAAATTAGACTAATATTGAAACTGTAAGTTCTCGGGGGCAGGAACCGTCTACCTCTGTTCACCACATAGCACATTGAGGCCTTGAATCTGATTGGGGCCTCTGTGCACGTCTGTGGTATAAATGATAATAGCAAAGAAAACAGGTCTCATAAAAGAACTTTGGGACTGTTAACATGGACATTCTCCCATAGAGGAGATATATATTGTGCAATTGGCTATGGGCGGTTCAATGTCTTGAATGCATCATAGAAGCCTGACTCCTTTCAGTTATTATTTATTTCACATTCTAGTTCTATGCTAACAGTAAATATACTTGTAAAGAATGTCATTTCTCTGTCCATGTAGCTTTTTCTGTGGCAATGATGAGCACTGTGAAGGAACAGTCATTGCATAGATACCTTCTGAATGAGACCATCGTAAAAGTTGTGTTTCTCATCTACGCCATATCCACAGAATGTATATCTTTCTTTTCCATGTCCTGACACTGCAGTGTCTCATTCATTGCGTTTTCTTTGAATCACATACACAATCATTTTTTTTAATTTGTCTTTTTCTTTGTGCTTGTGATGATTCCCAACCAGGAGGGATGCTAGACAGCTAATTTAAACATTACTTCTTCAGAGATGCACAAAGCAAACTCTTTAGGTTGGTTATTTCAGTTTTGGGTGAAGAGTTTGACACTCCACAGTACGTTCCATGTAGCTGTTAATAAAACCATAACAAGGGTTAGGAATTCAGTGGTTTGAGATGAGGCAAATAATATGAATGGCTAATGTAGAGGGAATCAATTCACTAGAAATAGCGTCTACATGCCAATTGAAACTTCACAACCTGTAACATCAAATCGATAATTCATGGGTATTTTTAATATTTCATTATAACACCAATGATCATTATAACGTAATGTGTTATTTATCTGTGGTGGGTTCCTAGTTGACCACTTTGGTCATCACCTCCTCCCAGTCCATTACCCACCTGCCAATGGACTGTATCTTGATTGTTACTATTTTAAATAAAATTGCTTCATACATTGGCTCTCAGGTTGCTTTATTTTTCCTGAGAAACTAAACATGACTCTGCAGAAACTATATTGGCCCTAATGCAGTCGGGGCTTTTCTGAACTCAGCAATAAATGTATCATTTACATATTGTGGTTTGAGCATTGGCCTGCTAATCCCAGGGTTGTGAGTTCAATCCAGTTCCCTGTATAATATTGTGTTGAATTTAAGCATCCTAATGATTCAATTGCAGGGTTTGGTTTTTACTCAGAAACTCCCATCTGATTATAATGAGAACTTAGACTGAATTAGGATTGATTGAAAAATTAGTCAGGAATTCAGGATTTGGCCCATAGAGCAAGACTACTGCTGTCATCAAAACTGCCTGTAGCCATGTTATTCAGCCTGTTCATGACTATGTTCTAAAAAATCATTGAACCTGATTTTCATTTACACTACAGCTGCTTTACTTTGGCAGTCTAAATTGGCCACCAAGTGGATTGAATATAATTCATACCTACTTTGAGTCCCCCCCCATGCTCTCAGAGTGGGGTAAAGTGGCCTTAGTGTAAAAGAGAATCAGGCCTATTGTTCTCGGCCATTTTGGTACATGGACCAGTGCTTTTAAGGTCAAGCCTCTGTGACTGGTGATCTAGGCTTCCCCTCCCTGTTAAGCTGATTGCAAGCCTCTGTGCTAGGTCCTGGAACACCACTGCTGCTCCCCTTCTATTCACTTGTGCGTGTGCTAAGTAAGTGTGAAGCTTTAGCTACTCCAAACTCCAATCTTGCAGTGGTGAAACTGGGACTTCAAACAGCTCCAGCCTCTTTACTATGTAAGTGGGTTTTGGAATAGCCCAAACTCCATTTTTAGTTGAGGCATGTGCATATCTGTGGGAGGTGGGATGCACTGTCTAGTGCAACCCAGGGCTTCTAAGCCTAAACTGATAAGGAAGCCTAAACAGTTTGGGAACCAATGTTCTGTTTAGTATAACTTCTCACTGTGGATAGTGCCAGCACCCTTCTTTCTCACAGTGGGTGGACTTGCTCAGTGTTCATTTTGGGTAAGGGTGGATTTTGAAAAGGCTTTGGAAGCTACTGGCAATCTTTGCATTTTTTTTATTTAGCAAACGAAGTTAGGTTGTATTGTGTAGTAGTCCTTAAGTCTCTGGTGTTGTGGGACTGATGTGAAAAAGCTCTCTTTGTACCATGGTTTTATGGAAGCAGGAGCCGACATGAGACGCAGATCAAGTGGCAGAGAGGAAGAAGATGAAGAGCTCCAGAGACGTCGGCAGCTACAGGAGGAGCAGCTCATGAAGGTTGTTATAGCCTTATCTTAATGCTATTTCCGAATCTTCAAAATCCTCCACTGTGCACCATGGACAGACTTTTCATAAGCATTTTCAACTGTTTTAATAAACAAATCCACCATTGTATTTTGCTTATATATATTTTTTTTCTCTTCCTATTTATAGCTTAACTCAGGTCTGGGGCAACTGATATTAAAAGAAGAAATGGAAAAGGAGACTCGCGATAGGCCACCTCTTTCAGCCAGTCGTTACGATTCTCCAATTAATTCATGTAAGCAACAGAGGTGAAAACCATCTCTAAGTGGTCCATGGAAGCCCACATGATGTGTGTGCCTGGATACTGGGCTTTCACTCCTGAAAATCTTGGTCTATACCTGTTGGCTTTATTGTTTAATCTAGAAATAATACTAAATTGAGGATTTTAGAAGGAACTTCTTGGAGGAATAACTCTTTATATACATGTGTGATGTAAAGTTTGGCCCTGGTAACTGCACTGCGGACACTTATCACAAACTAGTGGGCTAGCTTATTAAATTACAACAAACTAAACACACCTTGCCTAAACTTGAGCTTCACGTAGCCTTTTAACCTTTCCCACGGGGGAAGAGGAAATCGGCAATGCCTTAGAGAGCAGGGCAACACATTCCAAAGTGCTGGACCCTAGCGAGTCAATGTCTGTCTATCTAAGCTAGCATTTCAATTGGATGCATTACATTCCAGAGAAAAGCCGAAAGTATCAGCTGTGCTTAACTGTTTCCTTACAGGGAGGTCAGTGATGCAGCCAAGAGTTTGGCCTTTTTTGTATATATATTTTTAATATATTCTTTTATCCCTGGTGCACCTATGTGCCCTTCTCAGAGCTCCAAGGATTATTCCTCATGTGTTTTACTTCATTCTCCTTGCCCTCAGGGCCTTGCATCGTAAGTCTGCTCCAAGCCAAGAAAAGTCAAGAGCAGCTCCCTGTGGAACCTGCCATTGCCACTACTCCATCATCCTAGTGGATGGCTGCCCAACAAAATAAGACTCTGTTCTTCCCCGTTATAGGAGTAGGCTGTCTCTACAGCACTGCCAGCCCCTATTGGTCAGGGAGAGAAGGACCAGGCTAGGGCTCCGATCACGGTCACGGGGCTGGGGTCTTTCTAATAATATCAGCGCTCACAAAGATGAGTAAATGCACTGGCTACAGTGTCACCTTAATGGAAGCCTCTCCGTGCCCATCTGTACCATTACATCTGTGCTAATCGGCAACACCTCTGCCTTTTGTGTGAGATCTGTGGACTGCTGGTCAGACAAATTTGTGCTTTCGTTGGCATCCCTTAGCCCCAGGACATCTTGTCCTTTATACCTTCTCCTATTTTTTTTAAATGTCTCCTTAAACCAGAGACTGCAAGGGCAACATTTGTGGGTGGCCGAGGAAGTGGAGAGGGGTGCTAATTGTGGGGAAGAGAGAAGAAAGTCCCTGTAATGGAAAATTAATTACAATGTTAACTCCAGAGGTGCTACTGGAGGACCACATATATGACCACCTGCTTAAAATTGAAAGCCAAAGAAATGCCTTCGTGCCGCTGCACTTTCTGGCATCAACTGAGACGTTAAGCAGAAGCACCATGATACTACAGGAGAGCCTGTTTCCTTGCTATTTTAGATGAAATCAGGAGTACTGGAACCTGTCGGCTGGTCATGCAAGATTTCCTAACACAGTTGGGATAAGCTTTGGAGCTAGATGCTTAGCCAAGCCAAAGCCCCCAACTGGTTGAGGTTCAACCATTACTACTCACTTGAATCCTGCTCCCAATGAAGGTTGGGAACATATTTGGCTCTTAGCCATGTTTTCAGTGTTTGCTTTCCAAAGTCAGTGCTGTTGCTCAAACTTCATTGCACCGTGACCCCCTTCTGACAACAAAAATTACTACACAGCCCTGGGAAGGGGGTCCAAAACCCGAGCCCCGCTGCCCCGGGCAGGTGGGCCAAAGCACTGCCACCCTGGGGGTGGGGAGAGGGCTGAAGCCCTTGGGCTTCGGCTGCAGCCCTGGGCGGTGGGGCTTGGACTTTGGCTTCAGCCCCAGGCCCCAGCAAGTCTAACGCCAGCCCTGGTGACCCCATTAAAACAGGGTCACAACCCACCTTGGTGTCTCAATCCACAGTTTGAGAACTACTTCCCCAAACGTTCTGACTTTGAGTTTCCAGTGGATTGTTGGTGTTTTATTAAAAGACTTTTCTCTCCTCCCCATTCAGCCTCACAAGCCTCGGCCTCTAAAACCTCCTCCCTCCCTGGCTATGGAAGAAATGGACTGCACAGGGTAAGCTGGCAGCAGTGTGGAGAAGCAGAAGGTGGAGTTAATGTTCAGTCTGGGTATTTATTTCCCTGTCGATCCCATCAGGTCTCTAAATTGGATCAATCTGTCTTTTAAAACGTAACATCAGTAGAACAAAAGCCACCTGCTACCAAGAGTCTTGCCCTTCCCCATTGACTAGATTCTGCTAGAAATGTGTACCATGCAGCAAGACCTGAGAGCTGAAAGCCTTTGTATGAGAAATACCTGCACACTCGTGCATTTATATGACTGTGTTTTCCTTCCTGTTACAGCCGGTGTCTACAGACTTTGGTCAGTACAATAGTTATGGGGATGTGAGCGGTGATGTTCGAGGTAAGGCTGAGTTGGTTTTTTGTTTTCTTGTTTTGCTTTGGTCCCTGAGTGAACTGTGACGCTCGCTTTGGTTTCTGCAGTTCCTTTTTAAGGCAGCAATTGTGGTTGATCTCCTGTCTGCGTCTCAGTTTTTACCCCTGTCCGGTAAACTCCAGAGTTAACTTAAAATGTGCAGACATTTGTCAACATTTTTTTTTCCAAACCACGTTATGGGGTAGATTCTCGTTTACAGCAAAGATCTGTTCTAGCAGTGCAAAGGGGTCTCAGTGCAACTGAGAATCAAACCGTATGTATTTATTCAGGGATGTGCACTGAGTTCTGTTTTGCTATATTATAGAGCTGCAAATGATACACCATGGGCAGCATGGTCTGGAATCATGAACCACAAGGTTAGGAACCAGGGAGCGCTAAATTGTAATCCCAGGTCTGCCGCTGGCTTGCTGGGTGACTTCGGGCCAGACATGTAACCTGCCTGTGCCCCAGTCTCCTCATCAGTAAAATGTGTTGATGATTAATATTTACAAAGTGCTTTGAACACATAAAGCCCTAGACTCATGCTCCGTATTGTTGTGGTTTCTGTTGTGAGAAATGTACCAGGTAAAAATGACAGGATGCTGTTACAAAGGATCTGCTGGTCAGGGGTGTGGGCTCTGTTTCTTAGTTGACAAACGAGTCTGGGACTGCAGTGGCCAACATGTCCATGTCTCGGGTTCATTCTGAAAGCTCAGGCACATGAGTGTATTGGGTCTGGTTCCCATATCAGCTATGCTGGTGTAAATCAGGAGTCACCCCACTGGCTATGATGTGTATAAGTGCTGAGAGTGAGACTGGAATTGGGCCCTTTGTATACATCACTTGCCATTACTGCAGTTTGTCACAAGTTGCATAGATTATGGCACACAGGTGCCAAAGCATGAATTGACGCAGGCTATCACAGGGGAGCTAATCATCTCCAAAGCAGGAGAAACGCTTTGTCCTTTTAAAACATTTTTTTAACTTCACCTTTTGAGGGCCAGCCTCGTCGCTTTGGAGGTCGTGCTGCCAGTGACAGTGCTCCATGAACTGGCAGTCTCCAGGAGAACCACAGGGCAGTGGCAACATGACATGCCTCTTCTTGGAGTAGCCTTTTGGAGCCATGAAGAGAGTCCTGCGTTGGCCTCTCCAGTCAGGGAATGTTGCTGTAGTATGGGGAAGGAGAAGGCAAGGTGTCCTTCATTCAGCTTTTCAATTATTAATCAGGCCCTATCTGCACTTTAACTTGTAAATGAGCATGTAAAAAACGGTTAGTTTTAAACAAGGTTTGTGTTCCCATGAATCACGTTTACTGCACGGTTAGTAATGGTGACCACTAACCATGTGTCACCCAAGACAGTGGGCTTGGCTGGCTCATCAATGTCTCAGGAGATAACAATATTATTTTCTGCTCATACGGGTCCCACAACCATGCTGGTGTAACTGGACTGGCCAGACTTCCTTCCTCCCTACTCTTCAGTAGAACACTCCAGAAGGCTTTGTCCCATGTGCTGCTGGTACTGCCCTGTGTACCTCCCCACCCAGAACTCAGAGGTGCTATGATATTTCCATAATGCAAACACGTGGGTGTTGGTGCTCAGTCAGGGTTGACACATGGTTACATTGGGCAAAAAGCTCATGAGTGTTCACAGCTCAACCTGTTTGTTGTAACAGGTCAGATGTGGGTGTCATGACCTGGCTACAAAAAACATGGCTGAAGTTGTAATGTAATCTTAGGCTTAGAAAATGGATGGGACTGTGAACTCAGGCATCATTACGTGATGCAGCTGGGTTTGCTGAGCTGCCTTTTGCTATTTATTGTGGTTTCTCCCATTTTCTAAAAGGTCTTAATGTTGGGAAATCCCAGGTCCTAGTGCCAGTGAGGTTAACTGCTTATCTGACAAATGAAGAACCTCTTGGGATAACCTTCAGTGCATTCAAGCAGAAATGATGGTCCCATGTGTGTGGAGGTTCAAGAGGGAAGGATCCCAACCATTTGTGTTCACAAATGTAGCATTTAGGAGTCTCAGTGAGCTATCCTAGACCTGCAAAGCACGTCAGGTATTTCATAGCACTTCATAGCCTTGTAAAATGTCAGGAGATTGGATGAATCAGTCAGTTGATGGAAAAGCCTACAGGATGAAAATCAAACCAGCTTCTCTGGGCTTCATCTGTATTAAACAGTGCAGAGTCTACACTTGTTTTCTTCTCTCTGACTTGTGTTGTAACTTGTTATACACATCAGAACTGGAACAACTGGTACTTTTTAATATCCGCAGTTCTACTTAATATGCAGACAGACAGTCCTCCTTAGTACTAAAAAGTCAAACAGCAAATTCTGCATGTGCTAAAGGCTTTAGGGATTGTTCAGATGCATGTTCTATGTATCAATAGGCATGTACTGCTCCAGACATGATTATACAGTATTTCTCAAGATGGATCTAGCCAGGGATGGACAACTGATCTGGTATATCTGAGTTAGTTTCCTGAAAGCTCTCCTATTCCCTATGACATTTTCTTCACTGCTCCTAGAATGTGGTTTGTGTTGGATATTCAGCTCTCCTCTGCAAGTGAAGGGACACTGCCCAATGTCCGGCATAACAGCGTGCAGCAGAGTAGCTAAGTACCGCATGTATATTTTGTACCCCATACACAGAGAATATGAACTTACTTTCTGTACATGTCATGTTAGGGGATTGGGCCTCTGGCTAAGGTTAGTTAGGATTTCTGGGTTCTATTCCCAGCTCTGCCATCATCTGGTTGTGCAGCTTCGGACTTTCAATGGGAGGTCCTGTAGCCCTCTTTGACAATCTCACCTTCGATCCTCTCCCTACTGTAAAATCCATAGAGCCGGCTAAAACAATTTGTCAGGTTCTTTTTTTGAAATACCTTTTCAAACAGTCTGAACAGTTCCACAAAAAATGTTTGTATCATTGGAAACGTTGCGATTTTTGACTCGGTGAAAGTTTTCCAATTGAATCGAATGGATTTGGAATAAGCTTTTTGTGAGGTTTCCCCCAGGCCCATCTACAATAAGAATCTGTGGCTCAGGGATGGTTAGAAAAGCCCATGAGAGACAGACAAGTCCCGACTCTTTGTTCTGTGAGGCATAGCAGTACTGCAGTGCCGATAGGAGTGTCATGTTGGCTGATGTGGTGGGAGTTCAATGCACTTGCAGAAACTAATATTTTGATGGTGATTTATTTTAAATAATAATTTGCACTGTTGCACTTATGAACATTACTTGAATTGACCCACAAGAAATATATTTCTACTAGCTGTGCCCTAGTGTTTATATTCTTTACCATAACGACTTAGGACTTGCACAGGAAGAGTGTACAGATTTAACTAAGGCTGTTGATTAATCGCAGTTAACTCATGCGATTAACTAAAAAAAAATTAATTGCGATTAAAAAAATTAATCACAATTAATCACACTTTTAATGGCACCGTTAAACAATAGAATACAAATTGAAATTTATAAAATATTTGTGAATGTTTTTCTACATTTTCAAATATATTGATTTCAATTACAACACAGAATACAAAGTGTACAGTGCTCACTTTATATTACAAATATTACAAATATTTGTGCTGTAAAAATGATAAACAAAGATAGTATTTTTCAGTTCACCTCATACAACTACTGAAGTGCAATCTCTTTATCGTGAAAGTGCAACTTACAAATGCAGATTTTTTTTTATTACATAACTGTACTCAAAAAAACAAAACAATCTAAAACTTTAGAGCCTACAAGTCCACTCAGTCCTACTTCTTGTTCAGCCAATCGCTAAGACAAACAAGTGTGTTTACATTTACGGGACATAATGCTTCCCACTTCTTATTTACAGTGTCACCTGAAACAGGCATTCACATGGCACTTTTTTAGCCGGCATTGCAAGGTATTTACGTACCAGATATGCTAAACATTTGTATCCCTCTTCATACTTCGGCTAACAGAGGACATGCTTCCATGCTGATGATGCTCATTAAAAATAATGCGTTAATTAAATTTGTGACTGAACCCCTTGGGGGAGAATTGTATGTCCTGCATTCTGCCATATATTTCATGTTATAGCAGTCTCGGATGATGACCCAGCACATGTTGTTCGTTTTAAGAATACTTTCACTGCAGATTTCACAAAATGCAAAGAAGGAACCAATGTGAGATTTCTAAAGATAGTTACAGCACTCAACCCAAGGTTTAAGAATCTGAAGTGCCTTCCAAAATCTGAGAGGGATGAGGTGTGGAGCATGCTTTCAGAAGTCTTAAAGGAGCAACACTCCGATGCGAAAACTACAGAACTGAACCACCAAAATAGAAAATCAACCTTCTGCTGGTGGCATCGGACTCAGATGTTGAAAATGAATATGCATCAGTCTGCACTGCTTTGGATTGTTGTCTAGCAGAACCTGTCATTGGCATGGACACATGTCCTCTGGAAGAGTGGTTGAAGCATGAAGGGACATATAAATCTTTAGTGCATCTGGCATGTAAATATCTTGCGACGCCAGCTACAACAGTACCATGAGAACGACTGTTCTCACTTTCAGGTGACACTGTAAACAGCATTATCTCCTGCAAATGTTAACAAACTTGTTTGAGTGATTGGCTGAACAAGAAGTAGGACTGAATGGACTTGTAGGCTCTACAGTTTTACATTGTTTTATTTTTGAATGCAGTTATGTTTTTGTACATAATTCTACAGTTGTAAGTTCAACTTTCATGATAGAGATTCCGCTACAGTACTTATATTAGGTGAATTGAAAAATACTATTTCTGATATTATAATATAAAGTGAACACTGTACACTTTGTATTTTGTGTGGTAATTGAAATAATGTATTTGAAAAGTAGAAAACATCCAAAAATATTTCAATAAATGGCATTCTGTTATTCTTTAACAGTGTGATTAATCACGATTAGTTTTTTTAATCGCATGATTAATTGCGATTAGTTTTTAATCGCTTGACAACCCTAGATTTAACTAATGTATAGGATGTTGCACTGATTTAATTAAGCCAATTTCTAAACCAATGTCATTAAATTGGTACCGTTTTTGCATTTGGATAAGGCCTTAGATTCCTTCTCCCTTAAATTTTTCCCTTGACTTCAGTAGAAACTGGATCAGGCCTTAGGGTGACCAGATGTCCCGATTTTATAGGGACAGTCCCGATTTTTGGGTCTTTTTCTTGTATAGGCTCCTATTCCCCCTCCACCCCCGTCCCGATTTTTCACACTTGCTGTCTGGTCACATAGGCCTTTGGATTCAAGTCAATCAAAAAATCTGACATATCCCAACAACATCAGTACATCACATCAGTTACAACACTGTAGATTGACTGGGACAGAGAGACTGTTATCTCTTTCATGCTTAATTATAAAATAAGCTGAGATGAGTTCCTGGAGCTAATGCACCGTTTTGTGAATTGATAGTAACTATCTTCCGATCTCTCTGAGAAGCATCAATAGTATCAAAGTGGTGAACAACAAGCTGATGTTTGCTGGAGGCTGCAAACTGATCTGATATTGCTGTCGCTGAACAATTAAAATATGCTGTTTGGTGTTTGTGACCAATCCACGTTCTTCCGCATTCTAATACTGATGAGATTTCCCTTTGCTTTTCAGATTTCCAGGTAGAGTACGGGTTTTCATCCATCAACTGACAGCAGAGATAAAAACATCCACTCTGTTATTCAAGTCTGAATTACTGCTACAGGGAAGGGTTTTTTTAAGACCTTTGTTTCAGTTTATCTGCATGTTTAAGCATAATCAACGATGTAGACTTGTATCAACAAGGGTCAGGTACAGCTAAGATGCTTCCTGGTACAGCCCCAGAACTGTATGAGTGAGGAGGCCCAACAGTTTTGTGACCTGCTTTGTAAAGCTAATTGATGTTGAAATGAAAATTATCTGTAGTGGTTCCTTCTTGGCATCTGAGCATGGGTTCTCTCTCCCCATGTCTTGTCCCAACCAAGGGTGGTCTAGACACATTCCTCTTCCTTCTGGGGGCCCCCGTCTTCCATACTATGAGCCTCAAACTCTCCCTTTTTGTCTGTGGCTGTGAACATGGAATTCACCCTCCAGCTGAGATGGTTGGCCAGTGGCCTCCTGTGATGCTGTCACCATAGATCTTCCAGCAGTAGATGCTCTTGCAAGTGCCAGCCACTCCTCTCCAGATCCCCATGACAACTTTTTGCCATTGCATATCTTAATGAATGTTCACAATAATATGTATTTGTACAGCACCTAGCACAATGAAGCCCGAAAATGGTTGGCCTGTCGGCGCTATTGCAATATAAATGCTAGATAATGATTATAATTTAAATACTTGGGCAAATTGATTATGTACCGTATCAAAGACTGATCTGCAGTGAGAGGATAACAGATTACAATATATATTTATGTCGTGCCATGCATTATGCTTAAAGTGTGGTTATGCTATGAACAGTAACTATGTAAAAATGGCACCTTCTTAACCAAGAGCTGCCTCTTGTGTGCATTCCCAGTAAAATCTGCCTATTGTGACAAAAATAAGTTGATACGACTTTTTCACCTGCTATCACTGTAGAGCCAATACACCTAGCAGAGTGTAAGCTGGATCTATTCATGCTGGTACATGTTCAGCAGAATTGTTCATTAAATGCAGGATTTAACTCCCGCTTGAGGTCAAAGAATCTTTTTCCATTGACTTCAATGGGAGTTGCCCTAAGTTTCAGTCAGTTGTCCCTGTGCAAAAGGCATTAGGTTTTCCGAGGTGTCAGTGAAGATAAAATGGAAAAGTAGGATGCACAGGTGTAACAGAGTCTTTGTAACAGGACCTGTAAAGCCTTTATTACTGATGATGTGTGAAATGGAAAGAACCCAGACTGACTGTCACAGTTTGCAGTTAGAAATGACACCATTTTACTTGTCAACTGAGCATATCGGATATAACTGAGTGCCGTTTGTTATGAGAAAAAGGACTTCTGCAGAATTTCATGGTACCATTTTTGCAGTCACTTTTTCCAGAGTATAGCCACACTCTAACGCTATCCAGGTGATAAAGGGACAGTTGCAAGGGGCAGCGCGGCCCAGTGGTTAATAATGCCCTGACACATTGTCATGTGGGATCTGAGTTGAGGTTCCAAGCTGCAAGCCCACAGAGG